CTTTTAGCAGCGAAAGGCTTGTGTTGACTTTGTGACTTGCCGACCTGATCGAAAGGTAAAATTAATTATATTAAGTTTATACTAAAAATGTTTTCCTTTTGTGATAAATAAGTTGAACTGCTCTATTTTCTACACGCATGCATATGGTACTACATACAACCAATTGAAAATTTTTCAATTAAAACATCTAAAGATGTACTCTATGCCAATACAGCTTAAAACTATTTGGATTTTCCATGCAATTGTCGTTGCGTTCTTACGTTCGCCGAGGATATAGCGCGAAATGGCTGTTTTGTTGGTTCCTTTGTTTTTTTCTCATTAATTTTATTTGCAAGCGTTGCTGGTTTCGCTTCTGAAATACTCTCTGTGGGCTCATCATCATCGGAGGCAGTACCCGAGTGTTCCTCCTCGTCATTTGTATTATCACCCGATGCCTCCTCCTACAGAAAAATTGTAATGTAGTACAAATTATTACATTTATAAAAAATTAGCTAATAAACCGCATCATCATCATCATCTTCGTCCTCTTCTTCATCGACATCTCTCGTATTGTCGCGCTCATCATCGGTTTTGCCCGTTAAACTTTTATTACTACGTGAAATTTTTTTAGCATGCTTTAAGGGACTTAAAAGTGTATCGTGATCTAAGCTATCCATCGATTGTGACCGCATTCCCTTCTTGAGTGCCTGTTTTCGTCCAGTAGGTTCGCCTTTAGTTTTCATTAATTTTTGAAATTCATTAAAATCACCATTTTCATCAATATTCGAAACATCATAATAACTGGCCGAAAGCACTTCCAATGTTTTCGTATGGTATTTTAGACTAATTAATATGAAATCGGTTAGCAAAGACCTGATCTCTGACAGTTTTCGCTTTTCAAAGGTATTGATAATATCATCAATTTCTTTGTTGCAGCGGTTCACTTCCAATTTGGCTTTCAGCAATTCTGAATCAGCAGCCGTCTAGTAGGGTGAAATTAAAATTATAAACGTAAATAATACAACGATGTAGAAATAAAGGCGTCTGAATATGTGTTTTAGTATTATAATTGTTTTTTTTTTGTTTTTGCTTTTTGCTTCAAACTCACATTATTTGCTGTAAATTTCGATTTGATTTCAATTAATTGCTGTTGCTTCAAAACCTCCTTGTCACGTGCAATCGTTGCTGCGCGCAAATTATCTCGTGTGGTTTTACAAAGATTTTCGAATTGACTCAATTCATTGACTATCTGCAAATATTTGAAGTTTGCGCTCAGTTTTTTAAATGATGTATTGAATAAGAAAGGTTTTCAAACATAATTTTAGCCAAAACTCTCTCTTCCCGTATACATTTATTGCATTGCATTAATGTGTGAAAAAAATGTATAATTTTTCACCTTCATTTCCAAACGATGCACCAGCAAATCCATATAATCCGCTTGTACAGTTAATGAAGTGGTAATGGAGTTTAGGCCATCACTTAAGCTATAATTGATCTTCTCCTCTTCGGCGAAATTCTGAACTTTGTGCCCCAAATCGTCGAAGGCATTGCGGCATCTATAAAAAAAGAACATTTAATGCATTTACATATATTTGCTATAGATAGGTAGGAGTGATGCATGCATCACTTTGATGCTAATTGCTCTATGCACAAGTCTAATTTGAATAAAAATTTAGGTAGCAATCCAACGTGTTAATTACTTCGCTATTTTTCTGGTGCAAGCTGCAAAGGAAGCACATATTTCCAGTAAATGTTTCTCTGTCATATTAATGCGCTCATTCATTATTTT